AAGAAGCATGGCCTGTATTTTTGGAAGCATGTTTATTATATAATGCAATCAAGTATAAGATGGAAGGAAGCATCGTTTGTATACACAGCCACACGTGATTATAGGAACCCCGTATGGAAGCAACGTGAATTAAGGAAATCTTGTTTTGGAAACTGCTAGGAGAGTTATCAGACGTGATTATAGGACCTCGTATATGGAAGCTACATGTATACAGGAAGTTTGTTTTAGCAGCTGTCCAGAAAATTAAGTGGACGCTGTTGAAGGGATGGATCCAACGCTCCACAAAGTTTCATCCAACGGCCATCCACTGATCTGACGAAAAGCTAGGGGTCGGTAGTCTGATCCCTAGTGGTTCCCTAAAAGAAAACTCAGATATTCAAAATAGATTATGTGAGCTCCATAAGAAAATCCAACAATTAATAGTATAATAATTATTAATAAAGATGATCAAGAAATCATGGAACAGCACGTGCGCCCAAACATACCACTTGAGGGGCAAAATGGTCTTTTCAAGTGTCATTTAGGCTAAAAATGGACAGAAGTGTTATAAAAGGCATAAAATTTAGACTCGTTGCTATATAGGGAAGAAATTATTTGTCGATGTCAAATAGGGCATAAAATTTAGACCCAGTGTTAAATAAGAAATTCTCTCTTAATTCACAGGGTACACCAACAGATTCAGAAGAAAAATGAAAAAAAAATCATCAACTATCCTAAGCTACTTGACTTGAGTTCTGATTGTTCGGTCTCGTTGAGTGAAACAAATCTCACAGACATTTCTACAAAGCACTGAATCTTGATCGACAGAGGCACACACAACAACAGATTCTAATTTAGTTCTTCTATCTTCCTTTTGCCATCCCGCTGATCATCTTCCTCTTGGTTCTTCTATGCTCTGTCAATGAATAAGAGAATAACTTCAGCACAAGCAAATCCAGCAGAATAAAAGGTTGCAAATGGAGAGTGCACATAGCCATGTGCTTGTGTTGCAACTAGCAGATGAGCCGACATGCTCTGAACTTGAAGTTATTTGCAAGTTGCAGCCAGCAGATCAATTTACAGTAGCTAGGCCACATCCGGCGGAGCCAAGCTGAGGAGGGAGGCCATAGAAGGAGAACAACAAACCAGCACATGAGAAGCTTGGCCGTAGCCAAGGGGCGGGTGCAGCCCGCGTAGTGCGCCGGCGTTGGCGCGAGTGGAGGCGCCAGGGGCATCGTCGTGGCCGGCGGCAAGAAGTGGTTGGGGCGGTGCCGCGAGCTGGGTCGCAGACGGGGACAGATTGCGCCGATCTGGGGATGTGTGCTTGGCGTCGAGGAGGACGCCGGCGGCGATGTGACGCCGGCGGCTGGAATTTGGGGGCCTTCGAGATTGAATCGGGATTTGCAAAGAACGAGAAGCTATCGCCACCAGCTGCTGCTTTGAGATTCGTATCGCCACGCGTCGTGCACAGGAGAGGGTCTCACGATTAGCTTCGTACGACCTGGGTCATATAGGATTATTTTTCCTAGTAACTAGCTATGTTACTACAGCTATGTTACTACATGCCTCTCTTTCTTCATTTATTACTTGCCACATCATTTATTTTATCTAGATATGTGTGATGTTACTAATTATGTTGGATAGTCTTAGCCGGTCGTCCGGCGGCGTAAAGCGTTTCCCTTTCTGTAAAAGCCTCTTTGGTCAAATGGTCAAAACCAGCCTAGTTCAACGGAAACCGGTTTGCGGAGAGGTCAAGGTTGGATCTTACACAGGTTTGACAATACAAGGTTGAAACTTAGACGGTTACAAAGTTTAGGATTGAATCCTACACAAATGATATAACGCAGAGATAAAACATGGACTTCTCTCGTTAGCTAATGTGTTTTCTTTGTCTCAAAAAAAAAAAGCTAATGTGTTTTCATGCCTATGCCAAAGTCTGCACTGGCGTGAACATTTTGCACCGTCATGTCAACTCGTCCTCGCCATACTCCTCCCCCTCCCCCTCCCCCTCCTGGTTGTCATCGCCATCGTCATCAGAGGCCTTGCCAACACGAGTGCTCCAGCTGTATGCAAACACTGGCTTCTCGGGCTTGGGCACCGTCTGCGCCTCCTTCACAATCTTCATGATATCCTCCACACTTTGTGCCGAGTATACCAGTCCGGGAGCCTCCACGACGCCTTTGGAGGAGGCGCTCCCACCGGCGCCGCCGCTATCATTGGAGGAGGCAGCGGCGTCGACGTGCCGGCGGTTGAAGTATGCCTGCTGCGCCTCCTCATTGAGCTCGCGGGGCAGGTTCTTGAGGAACCAGGGGTGCGCCTTGATCTCGGCCATGGTGATGCGCTTGCGCGGGTCGGCGACGAAGATGCGGGAGAGCAGGTGGCGGCAGGTCTGCGAGACGTGCACGTACTCGGGGATCTTGTACTGCACCGACATGATCCGCGCGATGGTCTTGCGGAAGTTCTTGGGGTCCTTGGTGTCCTCGAACGGGTAGCCGCCCACTAGCATGACGTAGAGCGTCACCCCGCACGACCACACGTCCGCGTGCTTCCCGTCGTACTCCCGCCGCGACAGCACCTCCGGCGGGATGTACGCTGGCGTGCCCACCGTCGACTTGGGCCGCGAGTGAAGCACCGACGACTGTCCGACCGAAGGTTCGATGCTCTTGGTTAGAACCACCATGATTGATCAGAAGAAACAGAGGAGGAAGAAGAATAAGAAGACCTTCGAGTATCCGAAGTCGCAGATCTTGAGGCGTGGCGCGGGGCTGCCGTCGAGGAGGGTGTTCTCGAGCTTGAGGTCGCGGTGACAGATCTGCATGGCGTGGCAGAAGCTGACGCCGCAGACGAGCTGCTGGAAGAAGTAGCGCGCCTCGTCCTCGTGGAAGCGGCCGGCGTCCAAGATGCGCTCGAAGAGCTCCCCGCCGGCGGCGTACTCCATGACGATGCCCAGGTGCGTGGGCGTGAGCACCACCTCCTTGAAGCGGATGATGTTGGGGTGCCGCAGCGACCGGTGGTTCACGATCTCCCGGAACACGTTCTCGTCGATCTTTTTGCAAATGAGAAGAGACTCGATCGATCATCATACACACACAGCACACATATATACTCGAATTGAAGAACGTACCATGTTGCCTCTCTCGATGAACTTCACGGCGACGAGCTCGCGGGTGTCCCGGTTACGCATCAGCTTGGCCACCGCAAAGTTGCCCGACCCAGTCTCCTGGACATGCTCGTACTTCTCCATTCCTAGCCTCTCTCTCTGTCGATCAAAAGACTGGTATTTTTTAATATAAGCATCAGGATCATCCGTCGCCAGCCCAGAGGACGCGGAAACATCTTGTAGCTTTCCCTGTCTTACTTCAGTCGCGGTACTCTTTTCCTCCTCTCCTTCAAAAATCACATCTATGAATTGTACGCTGATTATAGGAGAGTTTGTGTGATACTTGACGGCAACTTTCAATGCAGACTCGACACCTTTTATGTTGACATCGTCATCGGGCCGAACCCCAAGTTTTAGAGAGACTTCCGTAAGGCCTGTCAAGTGACGGAAGCTAACGTTTCCGAGGCCATGTGGCTTCATTTTGTTTGAGTTGAAGCTTAGCTTTAGCGTTTGCACTTTAGACATTGCCCCTTGTACGAAGGACAGGCGTGGCGCAGCACACATGAACTTGAAGTACGTGAGTGCCTGGAATCCACCCTTGTCGATGATGATCTTTTCTTCAGAAACTGTCTGGACATACAGTGTGAGAGCAGTGAGGGCGGGGAGTCCTTTCAGCATATCAGTATCATTTATCGACAACCCCCTAATTGGAATCTTAAGAACGCAGAGTCTCGTGAGCTCTCCAAACCACTCAGGTAGGCTGAAGAAGATGCAACAGCGCCGTGACAGCTCGATCCTCCGAAGAAGCAGGTTCGGAGGAGGAGACGCCATGTTGAAACCATCCTCAGGGATATTTACACAAGAGGAGCCTGAAGCAGCTGGTACCAGAGTTATGGACTGCAAGGCGGTGAGTTTCTCAAGAATAGAGCCTAGGTGTTGCACATTCCTTTCCAGTTTTTCTCCTGGCTGTACGGTAGAACATGTGAGCTGAAGATCCTGAAGATTGGTCAGCCGTCCAAGATGCAATACATTTTCTTCTGAGTGACTGCCGATATCAAAATACCCCAGACTGCAAAGAGATGTCAGTTGGGCAAGTACACGGGAAAGTATACACTCGCTTGGAATGCGGAGGTGGAGTAATCTCTTCAGATTAACAATATCTGATGGAACAGCCGATAATCTTGCATCTACTTGCAGTGTACCCAAGTATTGCAGCTTTCGAATCTTGCCTGGAAGCTTGATGGTGATATTACACTCAATCTTGAGATATTTTAGTTGAAATAGCTTCCCGATTGTGGTGAGGTCAAAACTCTTCTTGTCTCGATCAGCCCAAATATGAAGAATCAGAACTCGAAGAAGTCCATAATCCCTAATGTAAGGTACACATTTAAAGAAACCCCAAAACATAAGTGATCTGACTTGGGATGTTACGATTCTTTGTGGCATGCATGCACGTTTTACCCCTCCAAACTGGACGGATAATCGGCGTACTTTGTCAGGAAGTGCAAGAGTTGATTGAAAATAGTCCACAGTGATAATGAAATTCTCCTCCATGGATTTCTGCCTAATAAAGTCCAGTACCATCTGGTGAACAGTACAAGACAACACCCTGCCATTATTATCGGTGTCCACAGCTTGGACCATTCCTCTGCTGACAAGCTCATCAAAATAGCTGTCAGCAATCTCTTCCGTGTCTCTCCCAGCCACAGGACTGAGAAAACCTTCAGCCACCCACTGCTTCACCAATTCATCCTTCTTGATCACGCAGCCCTGTGCATACATGCTGAGATATAGCAAGCATGTCTTCAAACGAGGTGGGAGACTATTGTACATAAGGTGTGGAAGACTATTGCAGATCATGTCCGAAGTGGACGGCAAAGAATCCTGTATGTGCTTCCATTTTTCCATTACGTTGTTTGATTCACTTGCAAAGAGAGTGGCCATATTTATAATTGCTAATGGTAAACCGCCACATTTCCTGATAATCTCGTATAAAACTAGTTTAATATCTGTTGGACAACCATCTTCAGAGCCAAACACTGTACTGACGAATAACTTTCTAGACTCATGATCATTAAGAGGTTCCATCTTATATATATAGTCTTGCTCATAACTACAGCATGCCTGTGCTACATCATCAATTTGTGTGGTTGTAATTACTCTGCTAGAACGATCACCACTCGGAAAAACACCGCTAATAATATCCCATACTGATGCAGTCCATAAATCATCAACTACGATGAAGTACCTGCACAAGTCTTATGTTAGGTCAAACGTAACATACTAATATGGAGACCACACATACTGTACATAAATAGTTAAGATCCAATATTTTAGTGGGACAATGTGCTAAATTTGGCATCTGTGCACACAAGTTGTAATGTTTTTATAATATATACTAAAAATACATGACAGGTGAACAAAAAAAGGACATATTGACAATGCCACAAAAACAAAAACATTTGTCCATTAATCTCGCGGTCCCTCTTTAAATCAATGAATTAAAATAACGAAATAATATACAGACCTACATATTGAAATACGTGATTACAATACCTAATTTTTCTGAATCATGTGCTAAATTTAGTATACGTCCACAAAATTAGTAAAAATCTATAATATCTACACACACACACACACACACAATTTCACATGTCATATAAAAACACAAGAGATGTTCATGTATTAATTGGCCTCAACAGTCCAAAACAACATCTGAAATATTTCTGTGATTTCTTTTAGGACAGACAATTTGTTTACTTGAATGATGGTAAAGATTAAGAGCATCTTCAACAGCTCCCCTATTTCTAAAATAACTATCGCTTACAGAAAGTTCGGACAAAAAAGCCTCTCCAACAGCTCCCGTAAGTGGCCATAACTATAGAGGATCCTATAAAATTGACCATTTCTTCCCGCAGGTTTACGGGAAGACCATCTTCCCGTAAAGTTTTGGCGGGCTAGTAACCGCCTAACACTTCATTGTGCACCCTGCCAGAACTTCGCCGGAACGCCGCCGCCACCGCCGCCCATGTCGAAATGTTGCCGCCACCACTGCCATGCGTCGGAACACTGCCGCTGACCGCATCCGCGCCCGTGCTGCCTCGGGCCAATGACCGACACATCGCCCCTCGCGGGTGGCCGCCACGCATATCACTGACTGGCAGGTCCTAGGGAACTTTCTAATTTTGTTTAATTAAAAATAAAATAAAAACGGGTTCAAGGGAAGGAAGTTACGGGAACTGACAAAAGTAGCTCTCGGACAATTTCCTCAAAATTTTACAGTCATTTTTTGAAGAAGCTGTTGGAGTTGCTCTAGTTACCTTTTGCCTTGCAGATGTTTACTGACAGCATCAATAAGGTCCGGCACATCAGGAAAGCCAAGGGGTAATGGCGCCTTAAGTTGTGAGATCATGTTGGTGAAAAATGCCCTCATGTCTGGATTCCGAGACACAATTAGGAAAGCGCGGCACTGAAATTTCCCACCGTGATTGTGGAACAAGGTTCTGGCTACTGTTGTCTTTCCAGCACCTGCAAATCCAAAAAGAAGAAAAATAAGGGAAACTCCATGAGAAACCTGATATATATCCTATTAGTTTTTTTTGGGACAAAACATACATTCTATTAATAGAAAAGGAAAAACATGAAATTCGAGTTTTTTTCAACAGCAAAAACCTGATTCCATTAACGAACAGTGAGACCAAATATCGAACAGGTCCCATGAGAGATTACAGTCCACAGAATTATACAAGGGCATGAGAAAAGAAAAGAAAGATCAGCCCTTGTGGGAAACGTGGCAGGGACTCTCAAAGTATGTCACCATGTGGAGATGAGCACCTTCTGTGAATGACACGCTACCCACATGGCAGAGACTCTCCACATGGTGGCATACGTTGATAAAGTCAGCCATGCCATATTGCGAGATGAGCCTTCTGTGAATGACATGCTACCCAGACGGTAGGACACATGGCAGCCATGCCGCTTCGCCATCGACCAGAGAGACCGCCGCGAACGGACGCCATCTCTAGCTGCCACCGGCGAACGAAGGGGAAGACCGGGATTGGGGCCTCGGAATGTTTGCCGAACAGGAGACTTGGAAGTTGGAGCTGGAGAAGACGATGATCCAGGAGCTTCAGCAGCTGTAGGAAACTGCCCCTTAAATGGACAAACAACTTCAAAAACCATTTGAGCAACGTCGGTGCGGAAGACGATAAGTCACTGCATCCCATGACCGAAAGGCGGGCCTCCAAGATGGAGGTTAGAGAAGGACGACAACGACCAAACAGGACAGCTTTGACATGGGAAGGTTTTCCTCCGATGTATGGAATTAGGAAGAACATCACTAGAGAAATAAAAGGCACTGCCATGATAAAACAAGAGAGGCATGCAACGACTAGAGGCAACCAGCTCCGACTAGGAAGGAGTAGAAGAGGCAGCTCTATATTAGACTAGTTATTATAGTGGGAGTAATATAGGTAGTAAGATCTTGAAAAAAAAACATAGGTAGTAAGATGAATGTCACGTAAATAAAAATAATAATAATGTGATAGATAATTAGAGAGAAGAGAGACAAATAAAAGAACATAGTATACCATCACATATCGCTTCCCAATGAAAAATGACTTTACAAAATAATAAATAAAGATATTCCTATATTACTCGTGAGGGAGTATCTATGTTATCACACCTATGACACTATCTACTATGAAGGTATTAATATAAACTGGTAATATATTCATGATATTTGACCCGACAAAAAAAAACATGTTATTAGTCTAAATTATTTCCCTACTATGACTAGCCTCATAGGAAACTCGTATGGTTGTGGTGGAAATGGCTGAAGGGATGGCAAGGGAAGCAGGAATCCAAAGAGAAAAAAAGCACGCTACAAGAAAGTAGAAGAACAATGGGCAGAGATATCTCTTTCCCGTGCAGAAGTCATGGAGTGTATGGTCTATGGGTACAACTGCTCGAAGACGGTAGCACGATATACTTACAATCGGTTGGAATGATGGTTGAAATAGGTATTTAGTCATCTGGCCCTATTTTTGTGGGTTGTGGCGTTTTGATTCTTTTTGATTTGCTGCTGCTTGTTTTGAATCTGGTACTATGTTGATACTTTATTTAGTAAAATGGGTGTGCGCATCGTTTGATGCAGACGTCGGAGTAGTCCTCTTTTCTGAAGAAAAAAAAAAGGATATCTCTTTCCTGACCCAAGACCGGGGGGAAGAAAAGGAAATCAGGTGCAGCGTGATCTAGCATAGGGAGGTTGTTTTGAGGGGTAGATACGGATCTGACCAGAGGAAGGCGGCTACCCAAGATGACGCGGGCCACCGCTCCGAGTAAAATCCTCACACAACTCGCTGGATCCTCCAAATCAACAAGCTGAATCCCCAAGACGCCATTAAGGACAAAAAAAGGCTACACAAATAAGCTACGCTAAAGGAAGGGTGGGTTCCTCACCTACCTAACTCGTCGCCGGCGACAGCGGCCGGGGAGGAGAGGGGAGGGGCCGATGGGGACAAAAGGACGGGCGAGGGGCTCTAGGTGGAAGAAACGAGGATAGCTGGGGCCTGGGGGAGAAATTCATGTTGAAGATAGGTTGTACCTGCACACCCAGTTATGGGTATCACCTTGAGTGTCTGCTTGTCGTCGCCGTCTAAAGCCAGCAGCTCGACAAGTCTGTTTGGAAGCTCCACAACACCAGCTTTGCTACGGCCATAGATCGGAACTGGCAGCTCGGCGTTCGCTTCGGAGGTGAGCCGGTTGACCCCGGATCCCCCTCGGTCCGCTTGCTTGATGGTTTTGAGAGGAAACCACTGGAAACGTTGGCGTCTTTCACTTGCATCCTTTGCGCGAGCAAGTAGTTCTGAAAAATCGAGATCAGTGCCGGCCCCAACGAACTCGTCCAGGTGATCCTCCATGTCGTAGCAAAGCTCCCGAACTATCTTCATCCACCATCCGCTGGTGAAGCTAGCATCGTCGTCGTCCGACAGATCCTTCAGGGAGATGAATAACTCCATTAGAGGACGGATCTCATCTTGCGGACACTCTTCAGGACCGATGGAATGGAGTTTCCGGAGGAGAGGGCCCATGGGCCCTAGAGAAGCTGTGATAGGAACCTCCATCGCTGCTTGAAGAGAAGCAGGATCAGGATCATCCATCTCCATATCACGATCAGGATCCTCCATCTTCGCCCTGACCACAGTGTCAAGAATTAGTCAACAAGAACATCCATCTCCGGCTGAAGTAAGATCCAGATGATTAAGTTTCTTATCGTACCCTTGTTATTAGAGAAAGAAAGCCCAAGAGAATATGCAAGAAAGGGAAACTTTACCAGGGAAATCTCGACGTTGACGAGCACCACGCGGAGGCTCTCAGGTTTAGGGCGTGGATAAAGTGAAACAACACGACACAAACAGCCCCTCTTCACACGCTACGGGCAGTGGCGGAGCCAGGATTCAAGTATAGGAGGGGCCGAGTACGTATATTGATCAAATCTTGTTGATAATTACTAGTTGCTTCTATTAAAATTGTTGATCGTTGAGGGGGGCCAGGCCCCTGCTCGTCCCCCCTGGCTCCGCCCCTGGCTACGGGACAGAGAGAAAGGGGCTTGGGTGCTACTCTAATCCATCCAAAAAAAAGTCTCTAAAGCATCTCCACCCCCTTTCCCTAATTTTAAGTATAATAAAAGCATCTCTAGCATACTCCTTATTTCGCGGGCTTTTAAAACCGTGACAAGGGTCACAAAAACGTGTTTTAAGGATCGATTTTACCTCCTGCAGAACAGACCATGCAAACGGCACTGTAAAAATGAAGATTCCTCTCAGAGATGCTCCACGCCGTCCTCCTCCGTCTCACCTCCTCATTCCCCGCCGTCCCCTGAACGCTCCCGACGACGGCCGGTCACATCCGCGAGGTGGCCCTCATCCCAGCCACCTCGCCCCACCCTTCTCCGGCCCCAAATCGAACCGGCGGCGGCTGATTCCGGTGAGGTATGTGCTAGAATTGCGGCGGCGCATCCTTCGCGGCGAGGTTTGACCGGTATAAGGGCCACCCTCAGTTTGGCCTTCGAGCCTTCAAATATATGGGTCTCGCGTGTGGGTTTTCGGTGCCCTTTAAAATATTTAAGGGTCAGACCACTTTTACAGGATCTGATATGGACATTTTTTTTCTGCCCAAAACCTTAAAACCTGAAAATTATAAGGGTTTGATCGCTTTTAAGGAGTCTGCTAGAGATGCTCTAATCTTGAAACAGGCTGTTGCACCACCTTTATATATAAAGCAACAACTAAACAAAGTATACGCCGAACAATAAAAGGTGATGAGGTAGCTGTGGCACTCCGACCGGCGTTGGACAGATGCCTGGACATGCCAGCCCAAGACGTGCACAATTCGAAACATGACTGTATTAATAATACGAAGTATACAACATAGTTACAGAAGTCTACGACATATAACTCCCCGATGTAAATAAGCGAAAATAAAAGACTAAACGGCAGCGGACGATTATGTTGAATACGTCCACAACTTTGGCTGGGCCTCATAACTCACAAGACTAGCTGGGGCGACCATCTAGCTTGCTGATCCTCTCTAGAATCGGACCACATGCAAGGCCTGGTAAGTATTTTGAATATACTTGCAAGACAACAAATTACATAACATCCAAGCAAACAAGTAATAACAAAGCTTAAGCACAAAGTAACGCTATCTATTCAAACATACGCACAAGAAACTTGAAACTAACTACCCCTTTATCTTCCGTGACGAGTGAAAATATGTGAATTGTTCCATCCATCAACTCAATGCCCCTTCTCTGCTACACCTGACTCACTGAGACTCCTTCTCATGATCAGGTCAGAACAACACTATGACCTTTCATGCCATTACGATCCAACTGACTGTGAAAATGATACGACCTTACAAGCGAAGTAGTATCACTAAAGTCTTTCCCCAAACTCGACCATCACTAAATTAATGTCAGTGTAAACCAAGTGGTCATAACTTAGTCCGTCACAAATCCATGTGGCCTTACTGTAAAGTCAGTGAAATCCAATTGGCCATACTCTTTGCCTTAAACCAAATACTTTCCCAATTACCAATACTATGCTCTGTAAATACTTTACCTCTTGTGAACTCATGTTTTGATTTATTTTTATTAAAAATAGTGCCTTAAACCATAAATTGTCTTTCATCACGGCCACGGCCATTCGAATAGATTGAACATCCTGCAGAGCTTTTACACTTTACCCATACCATGGACAATCATGTCCAACAAACCCTGTTTACAACATGCCCCTCCTACCATATCACTGACACCCTGCAGGGTAGTCCTGGGAGAGGGAAACTGGGACCCTGCCACCCCGTGCTACAACTTATCCACTCTGGGATTCAATAAACTTTCCAATCAGCGCTTTAATCCATCCAAGACCATCAAAGTTTGGACGACAAACTTCCGGTCAAGGAGATACTGACCGTCCAACGTTTCCGCTTTGGTGACACACGTAAGAGAGATAACTGTAGCCCGGGCTAGGGCCTTCACATAAAGGCAAATATGGTCGCACGACTTATAGTTCGGTTCTGGGGCACTGTGACTTGATTTTATTGACGACAAAGGATGTGAAACAAAAATGAATTTTATCCCACGTCGTGTTTACAGTTTTACCCAACTTAACAGACGATCAAGACACACATCTTCACGTGTTTTATGGATAGTTATCCCTCTCTCTTTTGTGCACATGAAGTCCATCTTCTGAAGTTCAAGGAGCCGTGAGAGTAGGAGTGAACAACAACAACAACAACAACAACAACAAGAACAACATGAGGAGAGGAGCAACAAAAGGCGCTAAGTGTCAAGTTTAAGTTTCCATCCTATTTTATTGTGTTTCATGTTTGTATATGTTTGCTTCCTTGCGATGTAATAAACCATGGTGTCATCAGCACTGTTGTTTGTTGCCTTCACTTGACTTCCTTGTTTTTTAATTTTACTTTTGTAGTCTATAATAGAACCATGGTTTCTTTTGTCAGTTGTTTCCAAATTAGAAACAAACTAAAAAGGCTAATCAATCAAAAACTCAACTGAATTAACAAAAAATATTAGTGCCACCATAAAGAAATACACCTACTAGATTAGATTGATAGTCATTGTAGAGTTCACAAACTAGAAAGACACATCGATCACAATGTAATTCACATGAGTCTTCTCTTCTTTGCAGCCTAGCGGCCCGATCTACACACATGGCCGGAGGAGACAAGGTCGGAGTAGATGGTGTCAGAGAAGACTTGGTCGAACTAGACGGGTTGGTGGCAACAAAAATAGAGAAGACATGAAAGCCTCTGAAATCCATGGCTCCATTGGCATGTGGATTCAGTTTGGCGAGGCACTTCCAATTATTTTCTCCTTATCATCCAGTTTATAATCTCCCATGAGTGTTCCCTAATTACCGAAATCAACAGCTACGCCACTTCGGCCGGGATTGGGGAACCTTGGCGGCGCGAAATCAAGCGTTGTTGCTCCTTCAGAGTTGCCAATACATAAATCCGCCCCACAAATGCACCCCTCGTCTATGAGTTCCCTCTTGGAATCCAGCGAACACATTCCTCACACGTCATCGGTGCGAACCACGTCACAAGTGTCACAAAGTGCCCTTGATCTCATGTTATAACCAAGGCCACACTAGAAACATGAGGTTGATATGTCTCAAACATATCTATAATTTATGATTGTTTCATGCCATATTTATATTAAATTAGCATACTTTCGGCCCCAATTTAGATCATTTCCTATTAATTTTTTGGACTAACCTAATAATCCAGTGCCCAGTGCGGGCTATTGTTTTTTTTTTGTTTTTGGACTTCTTGGGAAAATCAATTTTATCTGGCTAAAAAATTGCATCAATATAAAGTCCAGAAGCTTCCAAGGGTAACTAACATTTGCTAGGGGCTGCTTGCGGCTAGCGCGCGCCGGGCTGG